TTACATGCGCGTGCATACACACACACATATAAAATTCTCCTTAATTTCTCCGGTTTATTGTGAATAAAATTATACGGAGTACACGATCGAGGAAGGTGTATCGAATCACCAACAGACTTTTTTCGACTATAAAGAGAAAGAAAACAGAAACAAAAGAGAGAAGCACTTGTTACTGAGCGGTTAGGGATTCTGCTCATTGAAACTTGTACCGATGATGTATTGAGTTCAATAAAACGTCCTTGAACTGTTTTTAAAGTTGTAACATTTACAAATATATGTAAGTACTTATGTACACGCACGTTCGAAAGAGACTGTTTTAAAACGCGAGAAATGGAGTAGACCGATGCGTCTGTGTCAGCGGAACACAAGCATTCTTATAAGACCTAGATTTCACGACATAATAGAAGAAAAACGGAAGTGAATGATTTCACATGAAACATAAATAATTCATTTGAAACATAAACTTCGTTGAATATTGAACGAACGCAATACTCGACGTCTATTTTCTTGGCTCTTACCCGTACTTTTCTGTGACAGTCTTTAACGCTGAATAGATCCAAGTACTTACATATTAGCATGATAAATTGAATACACAGTATTTACATGGAAGAGATTATATTAATTGGTATTTATATAAAGCATACCTCAGTTACATACAACTATTAATCTAAGATCGTAATAAACGCGTATTTACAGTAAGGATAATCTAACTTTTAAAATCAATATGTATGTGAAAAATGCATAAACACGTGTAATTAACATTTTAATATTTTTAAAAAAAATTAGATGATCAGCGTCACAGATATATAGATATGAATTTATTTATCTCAATCATGACATCCACTTTTGTGCACATCAAACGCGACGATTCAACTTTCCTGTTTTAGTTTCAAGATTTTCTTTTTACCATCCAGAAGGTGTGCTCGCTCTGTGTCGGTAAGTGATTTCAAAATGTCCACTACCACTCCAGTTGCCAAGGTTTTACCTCCAATTCGTAACGTGAATCGCTGTCCTTTCTCGAGAACCATTGGCCTTATTAATTTTAATACGCATCTATATTAAAGGAACAGCAAGTATATTTGTTTAATAATAATATAATGCAGTTGCATTTTATTTATTTACCACTATAATAAGTTATAACTAATAATAAACTTACGTAAAGTCTTCACCGGGCATAACTAAATCTTTGTTTTCAAAATTAAGTTGTGTCGCAACATCCCATGTTTTACAAAACATTTGAAATTGACTTAAATCACTGAGGGGCTTCTTATGACCTCCTTCCGCCGGGGTTAGCATATATAACTGACACCGTAAGTGGTCATAAGCTTTCATTGTACCTGGCTTGCACAATATCATACCTCTTTTAACATCTTCCCTCTTCACACCTCTGAGTAGAGCACCCATCTGATCACCAGCATGTGCCTCTTCCAGTGTTTTATGAAACATTTCTATTCCTGTTATGATACTTTTGAAAGTTTTGTTGAAACCAAGTATCTCACATTCTGTGCCTTTTTTTACTTTGCCACGCTCTAATCGGCCCGTTACTACCGTTCCTCTACCAGGGATTGAATAAACACTTTCTATAGGTAATAAGAATGGTTTATCCAGATCTCTTATAGGAGTTGGAATATGAGTATCCACAGCTTCCATTAATTTTAATACTGCATCCTTTCCAATGTCTGTTTTGTTTCCTTCCAACGCGCAAAGTGCACTACCTTTAATAATGGGTGTGTTGTCCCCATCGTATCCCATTGTGGTTAATAGTTCTCGAATTTCCATCTCCACTAACTCGACCATTTCATCATCTGCTGCATCGACCTTTACCATAGAAAAGGATGATATTGATAATCCAGTATTGCGGATAAGTTTGATAGGAAAAAATGATACCTTATTGATAAAGATGACAATATGTTCAATGCCAATTTGTTTGGCAAGAAGCAAGTGCTCTCTAGTTTGCGGCATGGTACCATCTGTAGCTGCAACTACAAGAATTGCTCCGTCCATTTGTGCTGTACCAGTAATCATGTTCTTAATATAATCTGCATGACCTGGGCAATCCGTGTGTCCATAATGACGGTTTGGCGTTTCATACTCTAAATGTGCTGCATTAATTGTAATACCACGAGCCTTTTCTTCCGGGGCATTGTCAATTTCTGCGTAAGTCTTTTCTTGTGCCAATTGTTTTTCGGACAGAACTAGAGTACACAATAATGCAACAAGATTACATTGTTTGAAAGAAATCAAAAGCTAGGGAGAAACCGTTAACCAAAGAATAAAAATACACACTTTTGGTGATAGCTGCGGTAAGCGTTGTTTTTCCATGATCGACATGACCAATTGTACCCACGTTACAGTGTGGTTTAGCTCTGGAATATACTTGTTTTTCTGCGTAGAACCTCTGTGTCGTAACGGTCGGTACAAACGAGGTGACCAACAACTTATCGCAAAATTGCTGAAAGTTTTTTCATTTTTAAATGACGCTCTACCTTACGATATAATATTATCAATATTCCTTACATTCTTAATAAAACGTTCGATGTAAAATACTTGTTTCACGGTTCGCCCAAGTACTAAAAGAAAATAACCATTACAATATATCATCAAATTATTGTTCTCTCGTAAAAGGTACACCGTAAACCGCAGAAGGTACACAAGTAAATCATTCAATTAAAAATATCAGGAGCATGTGTAAATGATTGCGTACCTGGACTAAAAACTATTTTTCCACAATTGTATGCCATGTTTTTTCTTTAATACTTCGGTATTCAACGATCCTCGAAGCTCGCGATAATTTATTTCGTGAGATTTCGCTGTACAATGCAGAGAATCGTTAAACGACACAAGCGACGTGTGTGGTTATCAATTGAACAACTTGCATCAATTACATAATTCTTCAAACATGAGATATATACTGGCGTTACATATTATTTAATTCTTTTACTTACGTCTCCGAGCCAGAATCGATATCCTCGATAATTTATTAAATTATATTGATCAATAGTTACAAAATTTTTTCAAGTACCTATGTTATTCTTTTCCAACGAATGTTGGCAACAATTCCGTTGCCAGCGATTCAAAATTGGCGGCACATTTAAACGATAAAATCGACGATAACGAATATCCATATTTTTACATATTCATTTATATATTCATATTATTGATATATCTCGAGGTAAATGATTCAAGAAAAGATATTCTCTTCCGTTAAAGTCGCCTGTGTCGATTTCTCCTTCGACTTGAATTTTCTGGGTCACGAAGATCGGTGCAACGTACAAACATACGAAATGAAACTAATCAGGATTAAAATCAGTAATGAAACTAATCAGCTTAAACGAGGCTTAACGCTAGAACTACCGAGCATTTAATACGATTGATACATAATCCGTATAAAAATTGTAACAATAGATTGTCAGTTATTTTACACATTCATTATAGTATTCAAATGAAACAATTTATTTTCAAGGTCATTTCAATTATTTAATGCTTTTAAGATATTGATTGCGAAAGAAAAAGGTCAAAACCAGTCATTTTGACTGCTACGTAGTTCCAGTGTTAAAATAAGTATGAACTGCGTACCTGTCGGTGAACGATCGATGTTTCCCTTCTTAAGCTTACGGTAACTGTTAACAGATGGACTAACAGGAACTTGAACTACAGTACACAGAAGAGAGACGAACTATCGCGAAAGAAAGAGACCATTAGAAGCACAATGTGAACAGGAATGGAAGAAGTCGTAACGACGATCGTCTCTTTCGAATTCACGCGAGAAGAAGATACAGAGCGTTATTAAATCAGCAATGTTAATAGGTCCTCTAACGATTTTCCGATCAGATTTCACCGCGTGGAAATTTCTGCTAATAAACACTCCGAGACGAAGATGGAACGTAAACCCAGAGGTACATCGATGCAAATTCTACTCGGTCCTTTTTTAACCTAGTTATCTTGCTAATCAACGAACATGATATTAATGAACTCCGCGAGATATTAAATCATATCGCGTATGCGTTCTTCCTCGAGTCTGAACTCGAGTTCAATACGACTGCCACGAAAAACGTTTTACGTACCACTGGTACTTACGTGACAAAGATAAATAATAATTATTAACCCTTTGCACTCGGAAGTTTTCCAGTAGAAATATTTGAACACCTGATGAGATAACGATACTTTGTGAAAATGAGGAACGAAGCTATTTTATTCTAATATTTTTCGAATTGTGAGTTATACAAGGTGCAGTATTAACACATTGATGCCGTGGGGTCACCGGTGACCCCAATCAAATCGAATTACTATACTTCGTTCGATTAACCGATGATTGTTTGAAAACTTTTCTATATTACAATATTAGCAACAAAATATTAGCAATATTATTTTTTACAAGATAAACCTGCAATTTTTTATTTCTCTTGGCAAAATCGTGTGGCACTCAATGTGCTAAATGTCAAAGTTTATGGTTCCACTGTGTGAAATCAGGTGGCGAGTGAGAGTCGCCTCTCGAGTGCAAAGGGTTAATTATTTTCTACCACAATTCTTTAGTTATTAGCGAATATTTTGCCATTTTTAGTCGACGTTAGTTGTCTTATGAATTATAATTGTTTCCGAGTTATCTTGATGCTCCTGTCACCAGTGACCCCAATGACAGTGTCGACCGAAGAAAAAACGTCCGTAATACTTAGGTTAACTCTTTGCACTCCAAAAATTTGTCACTGGAAATATTCAATTTATTTTTTTGAGACATAGATGACATTTTTTTTAACTTAACGAGGGATCTACTCACAAAATAAGGGGAACAATGGTATTTTATTTCCACATTTCACGTATCGACAGATTACTCAAGATTTAATTATTTAAATATTATTCAATTATCAAATACGAATTTTTACAATTTTGATGCACCAATCGAGTAGTGACTGAGAGGCACTTTTGGAGTGCAAAGGGTTAATATCGTACTTTTTTCATTTCGCATATTCTGCAGCTTAAAATCGAGCGGCAATCAACGCGTTGAGGTAGAAAGGAGGAAAGAAGGAAAGAACGTGCATGCGTGAGCTATGAAATTAATAAGCGAGGCCAAATTAGTAGCGAGAGAATGAGCAGCGGTAGAACGAAGGCTGAGAACCAGAAGAAGGCGGGGATGATCAGAACGGACGGTAATGTCGTCGTTAGCGCATAATTTGCCCCGAGTTACGTCCCCCTGATTTACGTGGTTGCACAGTTACGTCGGCTCTGTACTGTAGTCAATTGTCTTGAACCAATATTCCTCGCTCCGCGTATTTAACTTTAACTGAAATATAATTTATAAAGAATTCGTCGTGCAACAGATTAATTTTACAACGACTTCATGGGTAAATAATTTCGATTATAGCGTTTCCACATGATTTACGTGATTGAATCAGTTTGAAATATAATTTATAAAGAATTCGTCGTGCAACAGATTAATTTTACGTTTTTATGGGTAAATAATTTTAGACTATAATGTTTCCACATGATTTACGTCGTCTCTACGCTGCAGTCAATTGTCTTGAACCAATATTCCTCGCTTCGCGTATTTAACTTTAATTGAATCAGTCTGATATATAATTGTACAAAGAATTCGTCGTGCAACAGATTAATTTTACAACGTCTTTATGGGTAAATAATTTCGATTATAGTGTTTGCACAGTTTCGTCGTCTCTGTACTGTAGTCAATTGTCTTGAACCAATATTCCTCGCTTCGCGTATTTAACTGTAATTGAATCAGTCTGAAATATAATTGCATAAAGAATTCGTCGTGCAACAGATTAATTTTACAACGTTTTCATGGCTAAATAATTTCGATTATAGTGTTTCCACACAGTTTAAGATCTTATAGAAACGTGAGTACTTGCGCGGTAGGTGCAGTTAATTGAAAATTAAGACCATTTACGTGTATGTAACGGCGCCAGAGACTCGGATGAGATTATCTTTGAGTTATATCGTTAAAAAAGACGAGATACCAGTGGAATGCGAGGTTTTAAAGTGAACTAAAAATGTACAATTGCCAAAAACGACAGTGACGACGTGTCATAAAGAAAATGAACGTGTTTTAATGGTAATAAAAGATGGCCACCCAGTACGTTACAGTACTATTCGCGGGTATCGTGATCTGTTACGGTTCTCCGTAAACGTTGCATGATAAGGATATCCGCAGAGGCAGAGATAAATTGGGAAAGATATCAAATTATAACAGATATTAGTCCCGGGTAAGAAAAGTTCTTCCTCTTCCTGTTCCTCTTCCTCTTCCTTTTCCTCTTCCTCTTTCTTTTTCTTCATCACTTCCTTGTTCTCCTTTTTCCTCTCGATCTGTTCGCGTTTCGTGCACGATGCATAGATCGAAAATTTCGAACATGTACTGGACAGCTTGCTCGTAGGATTTTCGTTATAAGAAGCGAAACGTTTCGGGATTAATGAAAATGATCGGAAATTAATGGAAATTAATGAAAATTAATGAAAACGAATTCAAATTAATGCAAATTAATGGAAATTAATGAGAATGAATGAAAATGTATGAAAATGGATGTAAAATGGAAGAAAATGGATGAAAATGGATCCAAAATGGATGAAAATTAATGGAAATTAATGAGAATGAATGAAAATGGATGAAAATGGATCCAAAATGGATGAAAATTAATGGAAATTAATGAGAATGAATGAAAATGGTTGAAAATTAATGAAAATGAATGAAAATTAATGAAAATGAAGGAAAAATGAATGGAAACGAATGCAAACGAAAGAAAATAGCTAAAAATGAAAGAAAACCAATCGAGAAATAGCTGCACTCGCGAAGAACGGCGCACCGATCGTAGGAACGAGTCGAATCTGGGAAGCGGCCGATTTCGGTTCGATCGCGCTCCTTTTACGGAGGTTTTACGGTTCAACCGTATTCCCGCGCGGGTTCTTTACCTCGCACCGGAGGCGACCCTCCCCGGAGTTAACTCGTGGCAGCCTTTTCTTTTGTTCGAGCCTCGGTCGATCCGCAATTTACATTCCGACGTAGTTGATCGCGCCGCTGCCGCCGCTTCCTGTTACTCGCGGGCCCGTTCTCTCTTTCCGCTTCCCACTTGGCCCCGCGGTTGCATCGTTCGTCGACGAGGATTTCGTTCCATCTAGGAACGAAACGCGAACGGGCAGCCACCGGAAGTGACGCGGCGGCGGGCCCGTTGGATCGCGCGCGCGTCGAACGGCTCGAATAACGACGAAGCATCCCGAGAACGAGCGTTCCTCTCCCACCGGTGCGCGCGGTCACGATCCGACGACTAAGCGCGAGGTACTTACGAGCAAAGGTGAAAAGAAGGTGTGTTTCGAGGTAGCCGAGTGTCTCTCTCTCTCTCTCTCCCTCTCTCGTCCGAGGTGGCTCTCCCTCGAATAACAATGAATCCCGAGTGTTGTGCAGCTAACGCTCGACGTGACTCGAATTCCAGGTTCTTCTTCACTGGCGACTTCCTCTTCGTCTCGTTTCCTCCTCGTCGACGCAATGTCGCGCGTCGATTGGAATCGCGAACTCAACGCGACGATCTCGTATCGTCGTACCGAGTCGAACGAAACTTTAACCCTTTGAACTCTGTAGGCTCCGATATGGCACCAGTTATATTAAATATTTTAATGAATCTAGAAACTACCCTAAAATTATTCGATTTTCCACGCGTCCAAATTTTCCGCTAACAAGGAAAGTAAAGGATCGAAGGAATGTTATAGCATTTCTAATTTTCGCTAGGAATCCTATAAAAATTAGTTGCAGTTGCTGATAGATTACGAAACAACCTGGAGTGCTAAGGGTTAACCCTTTGCGGCCCGAAGTGCTCTTGGTTTCTCGCTTCGACACCTTAACCCTTAACCCGGATGGTTTTGTAATCTGTCAGCAACTGCAACTAATTTTTATGGTACCTTCAATGAAAATGGAAAATATAATATTCCTTCGGTCTTCCCTTTTCATTGTCAGTACAAAATTTGGATCTGTGGAGAATCTAATAATTTTAGGCTAGTTTCTTTGATTCGTTAGAATATTCAATATTACAACTGGTGCAATATTGGACCCTACGGAGTTCAAAGGGTTAAACAAACTTGAGAAAAATTACTTCTGTAATAATCTTGAATAAGTAGACTAGTCGAAGGAATCTCTCGTTTCGATAAAAAATCTGGAATAACCGATATTTAGTCATTGAAATGTTACCTTTAGATGGTACAATTGTACTACAAATAAATATAGAAAAAATCGTTAAAACAGGTCGCAACAGAATAGAATGTCTGACTCGACATAGGACAAAATAGAATGTCCGACTGAAGGGTTAAAATAAGACATTAAAGTAAAACGAAGAATTACAAGGTTATTCGAGAAAGATGAGCAATTCGTTACAGAGTGAATGAATAATGAATCGTTGATTATTAGTTTGGGTTTCAAGGCGAGTACACTCGAACACAGTGAACTAAATTCTAGAACCCTTCGACCTCCATTAGGGCTGTTAACACTTCACTTACGCCAAATCCAGTCTGTCACTACATAATTTTCGCTAAGATGTACAGGCGTATGTTTCTATTTGCAAAGATCTGTAAATTCCAAATCAAAGTGCAAGGGAATCCCGTTACATCGTTCCGATTCGTTTAATTTTAAGGCAGCGTAATTTGAATAGGTAATTGTCAGGCATCTGTAATCGAAGAGCCGATTAATAGGGTCGCGGTAGAAACGGTGTTAAGGGTTAAAGCCACCGCTTCTTCCGATCCAACGCTTCTTTCCCCGAGGAGAAATGCAAACGACGATCGCGGGACGGAAAGAAAGGAAGAAATCGGCGGGCCGACGGGGACCGGGATCCAGGATCGTGACCGACACTGGGAACGCGGCGAGGAGGTGGTAGGGAGAACGAGGGAACGCGGTTGCGTTCGCTTTTCCATCGGTCGGGCATGAGGCCCGAAAGCCGCCGGGGCCCGGTTCAGTCTGCTTTCAGCGACATCCAAGTACGCGCGGATTTCGCGCGATTCAAACTCGCCTCAACGTTCGCGCGGACCCTCCCGAAGAAGTCGTCGTGCGGGACCGATCTGCCAGGCGAGAGTAAGACGATCGAGATGCGCGGGAACCGCGGAACGATTTTCTTTCTATGGCTCGTGGTCAACTATCATTCGGTGAGTCTGAACAACCGTTTCGGGTTCAACGAACTTCCTGCTCGCGCCTCGACGCTTCCCGAAGAACTCTGCGAGGACCGCGCGACGATTTCGTATTCGCGAAACTGGAAATCGCTTGTTGGGATCGACTGTGGCTGCCATTGAAATTTAGAACCGCGCAGACCGTGCTCTTGTGGGAGTCAGTTTTAACCCTTTGCGGACGGATGACGCGTTTCAGATGAAATGTTCAGATTTGGAAGACTAAGTCGTGGATAAATGATTTAATTAGTTGAATAGCAAGTATATTATAATGAAACTGGAAACCGCTTGTTGGGATCGACAGTGGCTGCCATTGAAATTTAGAACCGCGTAGACCGTGCTCTTGTGGGAGTCAGTTTTAACCCTTTGCGGACGGATGACGCGTTTTAGATGAAATGTTCAGATTTGGAAGACTAAGTCGTGGATAAATGATTGAATTACTCGAATAGGAAGAGACCAGCACGTAGTTTTCTATTTTTCTATTGTTTAAGTGATTGATATATAATTTAGCTTCATTTGTTGATGGTTTTGTATATTTCCGAGAATCTTCGTCCGCAGAGGGTCGATTCGATTAGGTGAAGCAGTGAGAGCTAAAGCGTTTCGTTTCTAAGTCGTGGACAAATGATTGAATTACTCGAATAGGAAGAGACCAGCACGTAGTTTTCTATTTTTCTATTAATAAAGCAATTAATTTAGCTTCATATGCTGAAGGTTTTCTATGTTTCGAAGAATCTTCGTCCAAAGGGTTAACCCTTTGCACTCGACAGTTTTCCACTGGAAACATTCCACATTTTTCAACGAGATATAGAAGACACTGTTCGAAACTGATTTCACGATAATTCATAGATAAATTAAACGTCAGAGCTATTTTATTTAAATATTCCCTATAGCAACACAAAGCTTCACTTAAGATACCAAATATTCAACTTCATAGTTTTACTGCGTCAAATCAAGTGCTGACTGAGTCACCTCTCGAGTGCAAAGGGTTAACATTCGTCCCCTTTAACTTTGCAGTATGGCTGAATATATTCGTCTTTCTGTCTTTCGACGCATTTTCGAATTCTCTGCATTCTATCGAACGATAATTGATTGAGAAAGATTGAGGAAGATTAATTGTCTATTTCCCCTATCCCCCATCCTCTCACTGAGAGTCACCTCTCGAGTGCAAAGGGTTAAAACCTAAATGAGCGCAGTAGCAAAGGACAAACAGCCGCATCCTCCATCTTGGTTCTTCCAAGAAGCATAACCGCCGCGTCTAAGATTCATTTCACAAAATTCCACCGCATAGAAATGAAATCTACGCGAATGTTCGTCCGCATTGTTCCGTTTCCATCACGCCAGGTCAATAACATCGACTGTCATTATTTATTTATATCACATCCTATAGTTTCACTGTATCAAATCAATTATCATTCGTCCCCTTTAACTTCGCAGTATGTCTGAATAAATTCGTTTCAAAATTCCATCGCACAGAAATGAAATCTACGTCAAATTAAGTGGTGACTGAGTCACCTCTCGAGTGCAAATGGTTAAAAGCCAAGAGCGCGCAGTGGCAAGGACAAACAGTCGCATCCTCCATCTTGGTTCCTCCAAGAAGCATAACCGCCGCGTCTAAGATTCGTTTCAAAATTCCATCGCATAGAAACGAATTTCACCACGCCAGGTCAATAGCATCGACCGTCCCACAGTCACCGACGCATCCCGAGGAGTCTCCTTATCCCTGCAACATTTTAGCCCGTGGGGTTCGCCTCTCGCGCTCGAGGCGTACGGTACGAGGATCGCGATACCCGATGCGTGACGCGTGACGCTGGACATCGTGTAGCCATCCGCGAGAAAAAGAACGCGCGGGCTCTTCCTTTCCGTGTTTCCATCGCGGCGCAGGTGGTTCTTACGGTAGTCTGCGCCCGTCCCGTCGCGCCGCGCTCCTCGTCGGTGAACGAATCGTTGCGACGACTCTTCCGGCGAGCGGCGGATGACTAACGGTCCGCCGGTCGCGTCGGATCGAAACGAAACGATTATGGTTGCGCGTTAACAGGACATGGTCGCGTGCTCCTCGGCGACGGGGAACGTTCGCCTCGGGGATCGATGCTCCGCGGACGAGGATTGCCTGTCGAGCATCGCCGGCAGCCACTGCCGCCTCGGCCGCTGCCGCTGCACGCCGTACTTCGCTCGGTACAACGAGACGCATTGTCTCGAGGGTGAGAATCGGTTGTCCCATTTCCACTCCGGTTCCCAGCCCGTCCTCGGCGAGCAACGAATTAACGAGATACTTTCGGCGTTCCGTTGAAACAGCGACGCTCCTCGGCGAGGAGTGCTCCGTGGACGAGCAGTGCTCCCTGAAGGTGGCCAACAGCAGGTGCGTCGACGCCGTCTGCGGCTGTAGGTCCGGCTTCCTCCAGTTCCGCCGGCACACTTGCCTCGCTCGTGAGTAACACCCTCGGCGGTTCGTCTCCTTTGACACGTTCCCTGCCAGACCGTTCTTCGAAGACCCTCCGTTCGGGCCGCGCGGGGCGTATGCGCATAATGAGTGCATAAGGAATTTTTAAAGAATTCTTCATTTTATAATGATAATACCAAATAGCTTGAACGGAAAGTTCAGCGTGGGGCGCGTACGCCCCACGCGGCAGGGAGCGTGTTAACCCTTTTAGTGCCAGACATTTTACGGAGTACACGCGGAGAATGCCGGGCCGATTTGATATGTGCGCTAGTATGAATAGCTTTACAAGGAACAAGATTCCGATTTGGAGGAAAATTTTACTATTTATTCTTCTGAGACTTAACACTAGGTTTGCGGGCATTTATTCTACACTTCATTCTATTATTCCTAAAAGATGCTCGTTTATGTCGATTGTGGAAACTGGAGATTTGATAGTAGGTGTGATACTTTGATAGTTTTAAAACTTTCAAAAATTAACAATTATTGTTCGCTCCATGTTGTATAGATAGAAGTAATAGAAAACTAAATTAAAAATTGAATTTTCTTTTTAAATTTCATCTACCTCTTCGAAATACTATGTGATACCTATTTTCCAGATATCATTGAAATCCTACTATTAGATGCGAAGATATTACACGTTTTCTAAAAAGTGCACGTTTTTCATACTTCACTAATTTTCGCCTGTACATGTGAGTTAAGCTCATGATGTTACCCGCCGATAGTGTGTTAACATCGGACGATCGATTCTCTTCTGGCTTTTCAGCGGCGAAGCTCGGCGAGGTCTGCTACGACCACGGCCACTGCAAGCTCTGGCAGGAGAACTCGCACTGCGACTTCCTGATACCCGACCTGTTCGGTCGCTGCCGGTGCACCGCGCCCATGAGACGGGAGAACGACATTTGCCGGCCGGACAACCTGATCAGGCCGCCTCCGCTGCGCGACCCGACGATCGCAGCGGCTCCGGCGGAGACAGCCTCGGCGATCGACTCCGAGGAGGATCGGACGACTACCGTGTCCTACCATCGACAGGAGGAAACAGGTGAGACTTGGAACCATGAAGTAGAAACGATTCGATTCTTCGATTTCCTCTTGCGCAGGCGTTCCGTTTCCTTGGAACAGGGACGACTCGGAGAACGAGACCGCGACGCAGCTCGCCGACGCTGCGGACGACAGCATCGTCGTGGACGCCGTCGAGCAGGGATTTGAACAGGAGATGGAACAAGAGATAGGACAACAGGTCGATCAACAGGCAATCGAGTGGAGTTCGGGTAAAGAGACACTAGCGAAGGGTTGATGTTGATAGCGTGATTTAACACACTGAAGGACGGCTAAATTTCAGCTACTAAAAACGCGAGCGTCGGTTATAATATTAAATATTTCAATGAATCTTAACCCTTAGCACTCCAGATGGTTTTGTAATCTATCAGCAACTGCAACTAATTCTTATAGTGTCTCTAGTGAAAATGAGAGATGCTATAGCGTTCCTTCAATGTTTTACTTTCCTTCTTAGTACAAAATTTGGATGTGTGGAAAACCTGATAGTTTCAGGGTAGTTTCTTTAAGATTCATTGGAATATTTAATATTCTAACTGGTGCAATATTGGAGCCTACAGAGTTCAAAGGGTTGAAGAAACTACCCTCGAATTAGATACTATAAAAATTAGTTAGTGATAGGTTACAAAACAACCTAGAGTGCTAAGACATTTAGATTTCACCGATTTTACCGAGGCCGACAGGTGAGCGAGAACTGTAAACACTTGGAAGTACCGTAAAGCAGTCCCTGAAAGGCACTTTTTTGGCTAAATTCATGCCACAACTGCATTATCTTTCGTTTGTAACGACTTTATAGTATCGGAATTGAGTCTTTCAGAGAATTTTATTACAAAAAGATACAAATCGTTCTACAAGTCAAATGTGAATATTGAAAAATGTTTTATACATATATTTTAGGAAAAGTGGAGTATAAAGGCGATTCAATTACGTTGTCTATAGGGAATTCTAATCGAAATTTTAAAAACATTCATTTGACTGGTCGCGGTAGGAATATTGTTAAACGAGTCTCCTCGCGTTGCAGGTGCGGAGAAGACGGACCGACGCGAAACGAACGGCGCGACGGCCGTCAGTCTAGGCCTCGACTGCGCCTCGGACCTCGAGTGTCGTCTCGCCGACCCGTACGCCAGGTGCATCGAGGGTGTCTGCGACTGCGGATTCCGCGGGAACTCGAGCTGCTCCGCGGAGACCAGAGGCTGCGTGCCCGGCACGTTCCAGTGCAGGAGCACCGGGATCTGCATCAGCTGGTTCTTCGTCTGCGACGGGAGACCGGACTGTCCGGACGCGTCCGACGAACGGTGTTCCGGACGGGACACCGAGTGTCCGTCCGTCGCGTTCCGCTGCGGGGACAGCGGGGTCTGCGTGTCGAGGGCGACCCTCTGTAACGGCATCCGCGACTGTCCGCACGGCGAGGACGAGCTGGCCTGCAACGACAGACGAAGCAAGTCCTTTTGTTCTCCCTCTCTTCTTCCGCGTTCATTCTTCCATTGTTCTGTCCTCTTGCAAAGAAAATAGCAAAATATAATGTAGGACTAATTTTATTTAAATCCCACGCGTTGTGGTGAGGAATAAAAGAGAATTAGACTCGCTAGATAACAGTAACAGATACTTTATTCTATTATAACTCGCTGACTCGCTAACTGTTACTAATTCAAAACGTTCCACTTTGTGTCTCGCTCAAAAGACGCTCAACTGGGCACTTTTTTTTTAATTTGATTTCTCTTGTGGGAGATGCCTGTACCAGGGATATTTGGTCCCATTTACCAGGATTTATCTAGAGAGTTTTAGAGTGCTGTTGCGTCATGAGTGCTGGGATATGATTTTAGGTGGTTCCATGTGGTGTGGTATCAGGGTGAAACTTTCAAAAAATCTGATGTCTTGAGAGGTAGGAGGTGGATTGGGGTAGGGGGTTTAAGGTGGTCTTTAGGTTGTCAGCTTTAGCGTCTTCATTTTGGGGCGGAGTGGGTATTCGTCTTTTGTGTAGTTTCCTGTGTTTGCGATGAATGAGTATTCTATTGTTCTATCCTCTTGTTTCCTCCCGCAGAATGCCCGGACGGAGTGTTCAGATGCAACAACGGCCAATGCCTGCCGGCGTACGAGTTCTGCAACGCGGTGGTTTCCTGTCGGGACGGCAGCGACGAGCCGAGAGGAGCGTGTCGGACGCGGAACCGCGGCAGACTGTCCGCGAGACATTGCCCGTTCGCTTGCGACAACGGCAGGTGCAGGTCGGACGCGATCGCCTGCAGCGGCCGCGACGGTTGCGGCGACGGGTCCGACGAGAAACGTTGCTCCGTCTGCAGTTAGTATTTTGGGTATTTTGTTCTTGTCGCGTCGGCATCGTCGGTGTCGTGATTATTAACCCTTTTAACTCCGTAGGCTCCAATATTGCACCAGTTGTAATATTGAATATTTTAATGAATCAAAGAAGCTAGCCTAAAATTATTAGATTTTCCACACATCCAAATTTTGCACTAAGGAAAATAAAAGATCTAAGCATTTGTAATTTTCGGTAGGGATACCATAAAAATTAGTTGCAGTTGGTGTCACAGTAGAGCCTACAGAGTGCAAAGGGTTAAGAACTAAATCCTACGGGGTTAACTATCCACTCGTTCCACGCTTCTCACGACAGAACGTTATCAATGTCCGTTTCTCATTTCAGAGTGCATGCGGTTCCCTTAACCGAACCGGAGCGGAGTGGCGGTACCGGTGATAGAGAATCAAAAATAGTCCGGTGCACGTTTCGATATGGTTCCCGTTAAAGCGAACAATGCCACAAGTTCCTACGCGTCAGGGGTGCGAGATGCGAGTGTCATTTCCCGGTTCCTTGAACGGACTCGAATTCGAACGCGCGCGGCCGGCTCGCTCGAAAGTTCGCGGAGCGGAGATCGATGGTGCCGTTTGGAAGCGACTTATTTCCGGAAGGGGAGGAGTCGCGGAATCCTCCGATCGCGCATCGCTTCAATCCCACGCGGCCGCATCGATCTCCGTGCTCATTCGGTTCGCCCTTTCTCGCTGCCGTTCGACTCGATTCGGCCGCACAGCGATCGCGCGTCGCGTCCGTCAGTTGGGAGCGTCAATTCGGCCGAGCCGTGTGCGTCGACGCGACGGACCGCGACGCGAGAGTTCGCAGTCGATACCCGAAGAGCTGCAGCGTCATCGTCGCTCCGTCGATTCTCCCGTTCGCGCTCAACGTCGCTCCCGTGGATTCACGTGTCGGCCGTATCTCTCGCGCATCGACTGGCGCGTCGGTGATCGGCTAGGCCGGAGTTGTCCTCGCGTTCCGTCGCGTTCAATTGAATAATCTCCGCGTAATCGTGTTAATCTCCTCGCACAGGGGACGGTCGCCTTTTCTGGCCAGTCCGATCGAGGCTTCCGGATTAGGCTCGATCCACGAGGTGGTTCTCTGCGGCGCAATAAAACGAGACACTCGCGACTCCATGTTTTGGTCGATAGCGAGCGGAGGCGCGTCGAGGTAGCCAGCGTGGCGGTGGCGTGAACGATGACTACTGGCGGCCGTCGCGCGAAATCGAAGGTACTCCACTCGGGATGGTGCACGAGGGTAGGTGAGGCCGCGGACCGATCGAGGCGGGCGAGCGATGCCGCGATCGCGGTACGTCGAGTACGCGTACCGGCGGCCAGGCCTGGCGTTGCTGTTGCTGCTGCCGGTCGGCCTGCTGGCGAGCCTCTACGTGGCGTCGTTCGGCGAGGACTACGCGTTCGAGCCGCGACACCCGGGCCCGTCCAGGTGGTACAACGTCGCGGAAGGTGCGTACGGTACGATAGGATAGGGCAATAGGAGGAGACGATCGATCTGACGGTCCGCTCCCGCAGAAACGATGGACGGCTACCTGGTGTGGAACCCGCGGTGCCAGATGCCCTCGAAGGAGCCGCTCGACCCGGCGGTTCGGCCGTACGTGAGGAAGGAGAAGTTTGAGAGCTGCTCGACCGACCGGCCGATCACGGGGCTGGCGCGCGAGGAGAACGGCACCGTCGTCCTCTTCGTCGACACCGCGGCGACGGCGTTCCGAGCGGGCGCGCGGTGCTGCTGGTCGGCCGTGCTCCGAGCCGCCAACGAGTCGTCGCCGCGGCACGCGCCGTCGGCACGCGCGCCGCGCTCCTCGCCGAGCGACGGTCAGAGCGCGGACGGCAAGAGGAACGGCAAGCGGAGCGCGGTCGACTCGTCGATTGTGTAAGTGTCCCGGGTAGATGGAAGGGAACAGGATTGAGCGACCGTTTTTCAGGGTGAAACGGTGCGAGCGTTTCGAGGGGAACACCACGCTGCCCGACGGCATCGAGGCGGCCATGGTCTCCTGCAGCCTGCAGCCCTCCGGCAAGCCCTTCTATCGGAACGTGCACGCGGTCCTCGGCCTCGACAAGGTGCGCTCGCGCTTCCGTCGCAACGACACCGTTGCCGGTCCCCTGACGAGGAAGCTGAGCGTGCTGATGATCGGCATCGACAGCGTCAGCAGGCTCAACTTCCTGCGCAGCGCGCCCATCACCGACAAGTACCTGCGCGACACCGGCTGGGTCCGATTCAACGGCTACAACAAGATGGCGGACAACACGTTCCCGAACCTGATGGCCATCCTGACCGGCCAGAGCCTCGCGCAGTCCTACTCGAGGTGCAAGCCGACCGTCCCGTACGGCCTCGACCGGTGCCCGTTCCTCTGGCGGAACTTCCGCGACGCGGGCTACGCGACCGCCTACGGGGAGGACGAGACCGGTCTGAACACCTTCAATTACATGAAGGTCGGCTTCGTGGAGCCCCCGACCGACTACTACCTTCGGCCGTACATGCTCGCCTGCGAGAAACTGCTCAAAGTGAGAAAGAGGTACGAAACAGACCGCTCGCATCCGAACGAGATGCAGGTGCGAGTAGGATGAACGAGCGCGAGTACCAGTACGAAACGTGTTCCCAGATTCGGCCTAAAATACTGCACCGGACCCGAGACCAGCTTCGACAGGATCCTCGACTACGCGCTCGAATTCGCTCGGACGTTCCTCGGCCTGCCGTTCTTCGGCTTCTTCTGGACGTCGAGCGTCAGCCACGAAAACGCGAACGGCCTCTCCTCGATGGACGCGCGGCTGCACGGCAAACTCCGGTACCTGGAGCGCGAGGGCGTGCTGAACGACACGATGGTCGTGTTCCTGAGCGACCACGGGATGCGCTGGGGCCCGATCAGGAACACCTTCGTCGGCTGGTACGAGGAGAGGCTGCCCTTCCTCTACCTCTGGCTGCCGGAGTGGTTCCGGCTCGAGAGGCCGGACGCGTACTCCTCGCTGCGCGGCAACCGGCATCGCCTCGTCTCGCCGTTCGACCTCTACCAGACGCTCAGGGAGGTGCTCGCCCTGTCCGGCGGTGAGGCGAGCCCGTCGCCGGCGTGCCCCGACTGCCGCAGCCTGCTCGGCCCGGTGCCGCGTCGGAGGGGCTGCGCCGACGTCGGGATCTCCTCTCACTGGTGCGCCTGCACCGCGTTCTCCCCCGCCGATCCGCGCGACCCGATCGTCGAGAAGGGCGCGCGGGCCTTTCTCGAGCACGCGAACGCGCGCGCCGCGTCCTACAAGGACGACAAGGGCAGGCGGCTGTGCGCGAAGCTCCGGCTGAAGAAGGTCCACCGGGTGGATCGCGTGACCGACTCCGCGGATTCGAGCGGCCTCGCTTACTTCTATCTGATCCAGCTGCTGCCCGGCGACGGGAAGTTCGAGGTCACCGTGCGATACCACGAGAACGCCAGCTACACCGTGTCCGACCACGAGGTCAGCAGAATCAGCTCGTACGCGCTGTCCGCGAAATGCCTGGACCGCGGGCTCAAGCTTTATTGCCACTGTATCCAGTAGAACCGATCCGACGCGGTCGTCCGAGCTGCGCCGTGTGTTTCGCGGAGTTCTCTCGGGCTCGTGAACGATTCCGGTCTCGATCTCGATTCGCCCGTACGCGTACCAAAGTGCCAAATTCGATCGACGCGCCCCTGTCGCCCTGCGAACCGGTCAAGCGCGTCCAACTCGCGGACGAGAATCGAACCGAGCATCGAGACTCACCCCGTCCACCCTCAACGCAACTGTCAAACATATCGAAACGTGACGTTCGCGTGAACGAATTCAACGGTGCGGACGCATCTTTATCTATCCTTAGAGATATACAGGCTGGCTCTGAAGTGTGCCGCGCGAATGACAGAGCGTGTACGATACGTCAGACTGGCAATGAGTGAAGATATACTCGGTGCACAGAGGTTCTCGATAGTTTCCGAAGTGAACGGTTTTGTTTCAAGAAATACACAAATTCGGAACACCGGATTATTATTACCCAATCGGCAACTTCCGATCGTTGATATCTCGATAACGATTTACGAAAAACTTCATTTCTATGGTTAAACGGAGTCTCAACGTGGGCTTCGAAAATATGGAGAAACTATAGGGTTCTATTTAAGAATGATCACGTGATCTCTGCTGGACATTTCAAGGTCATTTCAAGGTCACGGTTAAATATCTCCCACCGTGATACGTAGCATCATTTCGTACCCTGTAACTATTGTTCGACAGGTTTGTTCGTCAATGACAGTTTTCGAGGAAAATTGATGTTCTTGATTCGGTGGTGATACTTTTCTAGCTAACTCGATGATCTCGATTCGCTGCCCATTGTTTTCAAACAGAATTTCTATCCTCGCCTCGCAAACCATCGACTTTCGAACGGACGTTCACCGACGTCCATTTCGCTCGTCAGTTCGGCGAGTCGTACACGCCGTACCATCAGCGCGGTGCATTCCCGAGACACCCTTGTACATATATTTACACGTCGCACGCGTGTCGGGAGACCGGCCCGCGAATCCGCGACAGAATAGGTACGTAGACGAGACTCGTGCGTGGGTGCGCGCGCGAGAATATATTTTATTACGTCTTTAATCGTTCTGAACCTGCAACGATGGCGCGCAACGACAAAGGAAGTAACGTGGACAGAGAAAATGTATGGGATAGTTTATGGAAGCGCGTCGCCGCCGCGCCCCGACGCGACGCGACGCGCGTACAACAAATAAAACATGTTTTGCAATCGACGTCCGACGTGCGATCCTTCCGTCCTTGGAATCGGCTCCTGTCCCGTTCGCTCCGCTGTCTCGCCGAGTCCGCTGGAGTCAGGGAGTCTCCTGGATCAGTCGGAGCGGGTTTCAGAATTGGCTCGCGAGATCCGCTCGATCCGGCGGATAGTCGGCTCGTCGTCGAGCGCCCGTCGCCGCATCGCGTGCCTCGGCGTGCCGAACAGCATGATGGTGACCGACTGCTTGGGCGCGTGGCCGTGGGCGACCGCCACGCTGCGCCGAGCCAGCACTCCGTCGAGGACCCTGATGCCCTCGTAGAGGCTCTCCAGGTCGCAGCTCGAGTAGCGGCGCGCGCGGCGCCGCTGGCCGCAGGAGTCGATCAGAGTGGGGTCCGAGACGTGCAGCAGGGTCCTGCTGCGGCCGACCTCGAACTCGCCGTTGCTCAGCTTCTCGTAGCTGCTCGTCGAGCCCATCCTGCCGACGGGGCCGTCCCGCGAGCACAC